CCCAACGCCCAAGCCCTGCCATGGCCCTGTAATATTACGCTTATTGTAAATCACGAGAAAATATATATTTACATACATATATATTTATATGTATGCAAATTAACTTTAATACATGCCAAATGATGAAATGCAAATAAATGAGCTTAATTAATTGGCGCAACTGTGTCAGAGATTTAATTTTCGCCCCAAAAGCCATATGTAAATGTGGCAACCAGGCGGGCAGGCAAATAAAAAGCGACAAATTGCTGCCAACTAAAACTTTAAATTTATCTTTAAAGCAATTAAGTTGCATGCATGGAAAAAATTATGCAAATTAATGCGGCAATGCAAGAGACTGCGTAGTTTTTTAGTTTTCACCTTAATTTAATTTATTTCATGCTATATTCAATTTTTAATTCGTGTAGAAAAATAATTTATTAAATCTGATTCATAAAATACATTAACATTTTTATAAAACTGCTTCTAATTTAGAATTATAATAATGTACAAATTTATATTTTTTATAGATACTACTACATATGTAGAAATATAAATTCTTTATATTATGTCACAAAATTCATTTATATATTCCCTTTACAGAAAAACCCCCAAAATGTTACTCAAATTCGTATGCTCCATTTCGACTTTAAGCTAAAAGCACAGTACCCTTCGATCCTTAATTCCCTGGCCCCTACTAAATGGTTCTCTTTACTTAGTCCAACCCACTAGTACTCGCAACCAATTTTATGACTTTTTCATAGTACAAGCGGCTGCGGCGGCTGCTTGTTTAGGTTGGCAAACAATTCGTATTTTTGCTTGTTCAGCCAAGGCCAAAGGAACCCATCAAAAATGAGGGGCTCAGTCTGAAAGCACCTTAAAATCAAGGCCAATGCTCGTACGTTAAACGAGTGTTTCATCTCTTGCATATGCCACTGACAGAAAGGCTACTAAATAGAGCCCTTTAAACGAAGCGAAACCCCCATCCATCCATCAATATGCCAACCGTCTCCTGCTGTCCAACTGACAGTTCTTCGTTCTTCAAAGCCCTTTTAATTTGTCTGGCTGGTCGCTCACTTAACTTGATTTTTTTTTTGTGCCGAGACTGAATTGGCTCTACCTAGCTACCAACACTTAACTGGCGCGGCGCTTCGTTGTATGGGCTCCTGGCAAGAACTCAATTTCATGTTTAACAAGTAAAAGTGCACGGAATTCGATGGTCTACAAGGAACATATACCAAAACTTTGTGTTGGGTTTTCACTATGCAAAACTGGTAGCGCTTCCGCGTCTGTTGCATATAAATTCCATCCGGCCAGCCCTTGGTATTATTGCACACCCCAAAACTTCAGCATAATCATCATCATCATCATCATTGGCTTCGGCAAGGCCAAGTTTGTGGCGCTGCCTTATTTGTTTTTGCCCAAAAAGTATTCAAAAGTTAAATTTCCCTTTATTTTCTTTTTTATTTTCTGTTCCTTTGATCTGGGAGGCGGCAAACGAACTGCAAAGAATGCCAAAGAACGATGTAAGCCCAGACACCGTTGAGACTCATTGCAATGCAATTGCCATCGCCTCGGTTTTTCATCCGCCGTTTCCTCCTCCAGCTGCCCCCAAGTTTGCACGCCCTCTGTCTGTTGCTTAACTGGCGTGAAAATGGTGGATTTCAGTTGTATTAATTTTTAAATAGTCTTTCGGCCCCTACAATCCACATTGAACATGGCCACGGGATCCATGAAGGCCCCCTGCTGGCATGTGTGTGGCATGTGGGATGTGGCAGCTGCTCTTTGCCTCCGGCACGATTGGACGTAAGCCCCGCAACATGGAACGCGCACAATTAAAAGCTTTTACATCTCTCTCTGCTCGGAAAACCAATATCCATGGCATCGACATGGACTCCAAGCGGCTTCCAATAGATGAGAAAATTCCCAGAATTGACTAATACTCGTTTTAAAGCTTGCCTTCTGCTCGTACGTAGGTTTTCCTTTATCTACTTAACTTTGCCATCGGGTGATCAGATATTTACATAAATCATTTCATCTGATCAGCCCTGAGCCTTTATGATACCCGCTGGGCAGAGAAATGGCCCACATGCTAAGCCGTCAACTTGTTGCGACCCTTCGGCGCAGCTCCAGCTCCAGGCCTGACTTTGATTTGTGGCCAAAATGGTTGGCATTATTAAGGCCTTAAGGTGGCCCAAGTGTGTGGGTGGTTTGGGTGGCTGCTACTATACTCGGGCAAGCCCCATTTGTATGCGGGATGGCTGTAAGTTTAGTTTAATAGTTGCTTGAACGCGAGTTTTGGCAACTCTAGTCGCGTCGCGTTTTAATGCAAATTAAAACGTTGCCGGCGCCAAAAAGTTGTTCGTGCTCCATCATTTTTGGCGCGGCCAAGGATTAAATTGAGCCAGCAGACGCCAGCAGGAAAGAGTCTCAGACTAAACCCCAGTCCTAGCTCCAAGTCCAAGCTCTGGCAGCATTAAGTCACTGGACGGCCAAATGAATGCTTACCCCGCATTTCTTTTGAAGGTTTCTCCTCATTTTGTCACACGTTTTCTGGCACTTTGTAGCCAAATAACAAAAGCCATCAAGAGGCGGCAAGAGTTGGTTAAGGGTCTGTGTTTGGGCCATAAACCTGATGGCCTAATGTCTGGGGAGTGAGACATTAAAGCAGGCCCAATAAGTTTGGTTACATGATATGGAAAATGATGATTAAAGTAAAATAATGTAAAATAAAATTCAGCTAAAGGATGGCTGGCAGCTGGCTATAATTTCTTTCGATTATAAAATCAGTGTGCGCTCCAATTTATGACTCATACGAGTATTCCCACCATTTGCGATCCCTTTAAATATTATCGAATTATATGAACATTTTTTAAATCGTTTCGTTGAACTTTTGACATAAATATGCAATAAAAATTCAATTTCCGCTTCAATTTCCTTTTGACATATTTAAATACTGAATTCATATGCAATATTCCCCGTTCCCCCCTTCAACCATTTCCATTCGATACAAATTAACTTTGTGGGCTGATTCAATTTAAAGTATTTTTACTCGATTTCAATTTAATTTTCATTGCTACTCTCCCCTCCAGGAAAATGCTTGAGCAGGATAGTGCAACGCGATTGACGGGACTGGGGGGAAAAATACCCATCAATATTGGCTGCAAAATCCGCCCGAGCGCCAGGACCTCACTCTCTATCCTGAATCCTCGCCTCTGTTGCCGTCTTTTAGTCTTTTGTCAATTTGGACTTGGCATTTTGGCTTTTGCGGTTGTTTTTCAAAAAGCAAGCCAAGTATTTGCATTATCCTTCTCGACACTGACACGGGATTTTGCTGTGGAAATGCCTCGGTTTCTGTGGCTGTGGCTGCCTGTGGTTTGTCCTCCCTTTCCTGGTGCTGCTGCAATCTCTATTGTTGCTGCTGAGCAATTTAATTGAATTATTTGTAGTGCCTTGGCATGCCCCTAGTTCGGGCTGGATCTGTGACAGCCTGCTCTAATTAGTTGGGCAAAGGCAATGGCATCAGCAATGGCATCAGCAGCGACAGCGGCAAAGGCGTTTAATTAGCTCGCCTTCAGTTGGAAATTGAGGTGAACCGCCGCCCAGGGTTAAGCTCCTTAGCAAGACTACAGCCTAAGGGCATTAGGTAGTATGATTAGAGGTATAAGAGTAGGTAGTCAGTCACTCGAAGAACCTGTCAGAGCCATCTATTATGGCCAAATTGAATTGCTAACAAGCCAAGGAGTCGACAACAAATGTCATTCATCCACAATCACAGCATTTAAATTAATTTCACGTGCCATTTTTCTCTCCTGCTCCTGCTGCTGCTGTTCTATGGGATTCAATTTAATGATTCAGCGAATATCTGCCTGGCTGGCATTGTCTAGTCTCCTGTGGGGGTGCCAAATCCTTAGCTATTCATCCTGCGTGCTGTGTAAGCAGTCCCCAGGCGATGACATGTTTCTATCAGAGATGAACAGAGCTGTACTGTGACTAGGGAATAGGCAGAGGAGTCACTGTAAATACTCAGATGATTTTTTTTACATTTAAAAATGTTTAATCGAGCAATTAAGTATTTTTTAAATTTAAATTTTCACAGTTGATTGGCCAAATTAAAGAGCAGCCTTAGATAAGTAGGGAAATCACAGAAAATCACTTGCCAAATCACATGACCAGAACACGACCCGACCATTCTGGAACTGTGAATCGTTTTCTGGCATTTTTTCTCTTTGCAGAACTTGTTATTGACTTTTTGCTGTGCCTTCGCCTAGGCTGTCTGTCATGTCATTTATCCTGTTCCTTTGGACAGAAAAAAACAGAATCTGCCATAAACACGTCGCACACGTATGCGCCATTTTAAAAATGGCGTCGAGCCTCACTTCCGCTTAAATGTTGTCGTTGATTTGGTTGCTGCTCCTGCTTGAAGGCAACTGCATTTGAATTCAATTGAATCCCAGATGCTTATGAAGTCGTTAGAGTCTCTTTCCCCCCAGGACTCATCCTCCACAGAGCCGTCGACAATATTGTCACATCGTCGAAAATAATTGCCGGAAATACAAAAGGAAGGCGGCTGGCGCACAGAGATAGAATCCAAGCCAAACCAAATCGAATCGAATCGCATCGCATTGAGGAAGAGAATGAACGGAATCGGAATTGGAATGCGAATAGATTTCCAATTTTCTCAGCATCCATTCCCAGCGGGTGGAGGGGGCGTTAGGAGGAAGCACCACAAGGGAGTCCTTGTCAGTGTGGCTTACGTGGCGTATACTCAACTATAATTAATTACGCCTTTTGTGTGCAGCTCTCTAGTGGAGTGGGGGTGGGAATGGGAATGGGATAGGATGAGGATGATTCCATTTCTTGAGTGGCTTCTTTTCAATTTCAATTGTTGACTGTGGCGCCGCTAGCTTGCCCACTTCTCACTGCCCACATGGGGTCATTCCACTCTCTAGATGGGAAAATCGCAGGCCGGGCGACTATATAAAGCCCGCATCGTTTGCCTGGCTAGCCACATTCATGCACTGCCAGTGCAACAGTTCACAAGGAACAACAGTTCGAACTACTAGGATGGCCCAACTCCATCTGCTGCTCTACTGTGCCACAACTCTGCTGATTGCCAACGCCCTGATTCTGACGCCACAACTGCTGAGCGCCGCCGCTGCCGCCTCTGTGGCCGATAATGAGCAGGGGGGAATCATTGGCAAATCGAAGACATCCTCCTATCCCTTTCCGCTCGACGACGATGTAGAAGGCGTTGAGCTGCCCATGGAGGCCCCAGAGGTCAATGGAGATCTGGCGCTAACGCAGCGACAATCGCAGCAGCATTCCCTGCCACCACCCTGGCTGGAGTTTGCCGACGATACAGCACCGCCCAAGCATCGCACTGGCCACAAGCCGACGATCATCAAGCATCCGACAAACGGCTTCCACAAGCTCTCCTCCCACGGCCATCGCACCTGCTACGTGGAGATCACAAAGCATGTGGAGGGCATCTGCCAGTCGATGCCCTTGGGCAGTGCCTGTGTGACCGATGACTATATGGTCATTTATAACGATGGCAACTGCTCCACCCAGTAACCAGTAACCAGTATCCAGTTACCCGTAACCCGTAACCAGTGTACCGTTAAGTGTGTGCCATAAGTGTCTATGCGGATGAGGAGTACGACTACCTGATGCGCGTTTCTGTGTACTGTGCCCCACAGCAAGCACAACCCAAAAACAAACCAATTTGTATAAATAAATCAATCAAAATAAATATAAAAATAATTATCCATTTAGTAACAAAATTTTCTTATAATGAGATCGATTATTAAATTCTATTCGCTAATCTCTGAAATTTGATTAATTTTTAAATATAAAATTTAAACTAAAACCATACCAAAATTATTTATATTAATAATACGGAATAGAATCATTTTCGCTACTTAAAATTTAGAGAGAAAGAAAGACTTTTAGCTGGGCATTTCCTACGCTACCCTACTCTACCCTATGTTACCCTTCTATCTCAGTTTTGGCCATATTGTTGGCTTTGGTGGCTTTGCGCCCTGGAATGCTCGATGAATTTCCACTGGCCACACACTGAGCTCCAAACAGTTCCAGCAGCTGGGGCGCTCGAAAGAATGAGGAACGTTTCCAGCTGGCTGGACCCACACGATCCATTTGATCGTAGATAATGCCACTCACATCCAGGGCACGGAATTGCTCCAGCAAATGCTCATCCTGCAGATCATTGCCCCACAGGAAGAGCACCTGTTTGAGGTCCAGGGCAACGCTCACCAGCTGCTGCTTCTGCGCAAAGTTTTCCACGTGCAGAGCTGTGCCCAGGATATCCGCGGAATGAGCAAAATTAACAGCCTGCTGGTAGCTCTGAGCTCTGAGATCCATGTAGGGATCCCAGATGTGCGATCTGCCAATGCTCATGAGGATGACGGGAAAGACCTGCTGCTTCAATCTGATCATAGTGCAGATATCCGCATCGAAGCTGGAAAATATCAAAGGACGACCGCAGCCATAGCGAACTGTGGTCTGTAAGATTCTATCCACATAGACATTCTTGTTGAGGCTCTGTGTGGATTCCAGAAGACCCGAAGCCATCAATTGGGGCCACTTGATCTCCACCAGCAGGCCCAATGACTTGGGCAGCGTTTCGTACACCTCCGACAGTTTGGGGAAAATTCTTTGGCTTTGCGTGGGGTTGCGCAGATTGAGGTGCGTGTACTCCTGCAGGCTCCAACGCTTCAGGATGAACACGCGACTGGCCTTGAGCTCCGCGTAGCTTAGTTCCCTGATCAGCACATAGCGCAGATCGAAGCGATCCCTGATCTGCTGATCCTGGCCCGCTGTGTAGAACCCGAAGCCATGCCAAACGATGGGTACGTAGTCCTTGGTTAGCTGCACATCCAGCTGGACCATGTCGCCCTTGACCCTCAGCACGGCCAGGAAACTTTCGATTGTGTTCTCCGTGTGGCTGGTTGAGGCCTGGTAGTAGCTGGCGCCCATTCCCCGATAGCCCACATCCATGGTTGGCCAATTGTCGGGCCAGTAGTGATGGAAGCTCTCCCGCAGATTGCAGGCCTCCACCTTGGGCATGGGCAGCACCACCAAATAGGGCAGGCTCAGCTGTCCAATGGCCATGGTCTGCAGGCTGGCGAAGATCGGCAGCTGTAGGGTGCCGCGACTTCCGCGGATTTGCTCGGGAAAGATGTAGACCTCGCCCAGCGACTGCTTCGATTCCTTGCTCCCCGTCTGATAGATGGACAGGCGGAAGGCATTGTAGATGTCCAGCGGCTGACTGATGCGAAAGATCACAATGGAACCCTGGCAATACTTCACTCCCAGCTGGGACAATGGCCGGAACGAGGAGTGATTGTAGGCATATCGGGAGACCTCAATCCGTGAGTCATCAATCACATTGAGGGGCGTCAGCAGCAGTCGCAGCTTGGCCCTGCTGCCCAGCCCTGAGATGAACATGTGCTCCTGCCACACGAACTTCAACTCAATGACGTACTCGTGCTGCAGCCAGCCGCGCTCCAGGTGGAAGCCACCGCCCACCGAACGGGGATAGGCCTCGCCAAATATGTCCAGGCCGGGGGATCGATAGATCTCGTAGGTCTGCATCATTCTGGCCACCTTCTGGCCCTCCCAGCTGCGCAGAATCCGCTTGCCCTGGCCATTCTTCGCGTAGATCAGGTAGCGGTAGTAGAACCGCTGGCTGGCACACACCCACAGGCGTAGATACCACTTGGTCCTGGCCTTATCCTGCTCCTTCAGCGGCACCGCCTTCTCCAGCTGCCAGTGGCCAAGTGAGGCATGATCCCCGCTGACGGCAATGTACTCATCGGCAGCCAGACGAATGTTGTGACTCAGCTCCAGACTGAAGATCCGAAAGAGGGGCACACAGAGGAAGCTTCGAGCTGATACCTGCCCGTGCGGCTGCTCATCGTCAAAGATCTTGAATGCCTGCAGCTGCTCGGGAGCAAAGACAAGCGTTTCATTCAGTACGGTGCGGCTGCTGGTGGCATAAGACAATGGCAGGGGCAGCAGCAGCAGCAGCGGCAGCGGCAGAAACACAAGCAGCCACAGCAGTATGCTAATTGATTTTAACACATTCAACAACACACAAGATCGATACATTTTTGTTCATTCCACACAGATTTTTGGGGCATCATCATCTCGCCAGCGAAACAAGTTTTCTCTTTCCGATAAAATGAAGTAAGTAAGGCGACCGAAAAAAAACTTAAACTTAAAGACAAAAAAACGAAACCGACGCGAATCCGCAGGCAGGCAACTTGACCCAACGATGACAAACAAACGAATGAAAGAATCTCTTAAAGCTTAGCAGAGTTTTGTTTTCATTGAAATTGGATTTGGCTTTGGTATCGAAGATCTTCTGCGGATGCTCTCTGCATCAGCGTTGATTGATAAGTCCAGCGCCAGCGCGCACACTAATTGAGTTGGAAGGTGGAGAGGTTTAATGATGGCCTGAGCAGGTGGCAGATAATTAAAGCATAATGAAGATATATGCCCCATAAATTAGATTTTAATGTGGGGTGAAATCTCTTTCACCTGAGCAGATCATATTACTTAATTTATGGGCTATCCCCTGAGGCTAGCAGTACTCCGAGAGTATTTAAACTTCGGCTTGGATCTCATTGTTTTTAAGTTATTCGCATATATTTTTGACCATGTAAATTTCTGGCTAAAGAAAGTTGCGCCACAAGAGAGGAGTCAGCGAATGACTCTCGCGATTGCTTTAAATATTTTCGTTATCGACCAGAGGCTTAATATAATGCGGATGGTATTCCAAATGCAGATACTTGGACAAATGCCAATGCTGCCAGGGTTTTTGCTGCTCATTCTCACAGTTTTTCGCCTTCTCCACCAGCGTAAAGTTGTGCAACAATAGATGAACCGTCTGCAGGTAACTATCGACTGCTTTCAGGGTCTCCTGTGTGGGTTCCTTGGCTCGGGTGTAGATGGCCAGGCGATGACGGAACCAGGGCAAAGAGCAGTAAAGCTCCACAGCATAATTATCGTAGTCCGTCATGGTGATGCGTGTCCAATAGAGATCCACTGGAAGTAAATATATATTAACTATATTAATTCAACAGGTTAAAGTCTTCTCATTGGGCTTACGCTCGTTGAGGTAGCAACGTTTCGTTGCCTCTGGATTGCTACCATAAATCCACCAGCCGCCCTTGATCTTAAAGTTATTATCGATCGATTGCTTATGCATTTTCAAGATCATTCAATATCAATTTCTCACCTTCTCTCTGTCAACGGGAAATTCTTTGTATAAACACTGCCACGCCCTGGCCAAACCGATGGGTGACAGCCCCAGCAACAGCCACAGATACAGGCCCGTGCGGAGGCATAGGCATTCCCAATGGCTCTTCCTAAGCCACATGCAAATGAGTTGTGCTCTAATTGACCATAAACTGAACTGGCTGTAGGCCTGGCTGGCACTTACACGACTGGCCGCCCAGCCTTTCTTTCTTTTATGGGTTCCCCGCTTATGGTCCGTGTTTTTGGGGCTCAGCATTTTCATGGTGGCTTTTTACATTCGTCACGATGCTGCCCCATCAAAATGTAAAGCGGATCGAATTTTACAATTTTTCTGTTTTTGTTTTTTCTTTCTGTGTGTAGAGATCACATACATATGCATATATGTATACTAGCTGAAACTGCAAACATTCATGTTTTGATTTAGAGCGCATGAAAGTGGGTACACATTCTTTGTCCATATCGGCACCAATCGTCACTTTCGAAATATTCAACATTTGGCTAGGATATAAATGCCCCATGTACTTGCTGGCATTTTCTCTGAGTTACACAAGAAATTTTAGTAAAGAAACGTCATTACGAATTGAGTGTTACTTTGCATTGCGTGTTTTATTTTTCTACGAATTTCTTTAATCACGCCTTGGTATTTAGTCTGTTTTAAATAGATATTTAAATATTATTAACAATAGTTGAATTGTTCTTCTTGGTGTTTTGTAGTTTTTAAATAGAAATTGCTTGCACAATTTTATAAAACAGAACTTAAACATAGACAAATTAACGCTACAAAATGGTATAAAAATATATCCAATAATTAATTTCATAATTGGAAAGCAATGAGCAAATACATAGCTATATTTGTAGTATTATTGCATAAAAGTTGTTCAAAATTAGTTGCATTGGTTTTTGTTTTATTTGTGTTATTTTTTTTGCAATTACTCGTAGCTTAACTCTTTTGGTTGCTTTTTTGTTGCAGAATTTTTTTGTTAATTAATTCATTTTTTTTTTTTGCATCTGTTGCAGCTTGAGGTATTTAACGATTTATAGCAGGTATTAGGTGTAAATATATGTGTATGTGTGTATATGATTTTGCAATGCTCATTTCTCATCTCATCTCCTTCCTTTCTTTTTCTTTTTGCATCGCTTTCTTCTTTCATTGTCTTTATATTGCTTTGCTACTTAATTTTTGAGGGGAATTCCTCCCATGCTCTCTGGGGAAGATTTCTACCCGTAATTATGGCCAAATGATGGCATTTACTTCTGTCGGTTTCCTATAATTTAATAAACCAAATTATGAAGCTGCGCTTCGTACCGCTGCGTCGCCTTCGATGCCTTTCCTTTCGCACATTTCTCTTTCTCTTACGTTACGTTTCTAAATAAATATACAAAAATTTCTTTACAAGATTAATGATTAACTTAGGCTATGAGCTACCCGCCCCGTCCCGCCCTTTTCACCCCGCTTAGATCCGGCACTGGGCCGCGAACTCGGCCATCAGGGCCGGTGACTTGAAGAACGCTTCCTGCTTGTCATCGGACATGTAGAGATCGCTGCGATCGTAGCATGTGGCCGTGGCCCCGATCTGTGTGAAATACTTGACACGCTCCCGCGAATTGCAGTCATCGCCCCAGAGGACGACAATCTGGCCGAGGTCCTTGGCCTGCTGCAGCATCTGGGCGGCATTCTCGCCGAGGAAATCCTCGGCATGTGGTGCAGTACCGGCCAACTCAAAGGCCTGGGCATTGTTGACGGCTGCCTCGAAGCTCCTTGTTCGCAGGTCAAGGAACGGCTGCCATTTCTTCGTCTGGCCCTGGGTGAGGTACATCACGGGGATGATGTTCTGCTTGAAGCGCAGCATGGTGCACATGTCGGCGTCAAAGCTAGAGAAGATAATGGGACGGCCGCAGCCATGCTGGATCACCTGATGGAGCACACGGTCGGCAAAGAAGTTCTTGTCGATCGTCTGCTCGGCCTCGGAGCCGCCACCTTGGCGACGCTGCGGCCACTTGATCTCCACATCGATGCCCAGCGACTTGGGCAGCTCGTCGAGCACCTCCACCAGCCGTGGAAAGATGCGATGTGCGGTTCGGGTTTCGGCATTGTGAGAGGGATACTCCACCACCCGCCCATTGATCACAGAGAAGATGCGCAGCCGCTTGAGCAGCTCATAGTTGATGTCCTTGATCAGGACGTATTCCAGTTGATCCGGCTTGGTGATCTGCTTGCCAGGCGGCGCAGTGCGAAGGCCAAAGTCGTGATAAATCACTGGCACTCCATCGGCCGTGAGATGAACATCCAGCTCAATCATGTCCGCATTATGCTCGTGGGCACTCAGAAACGAGGCAATTGTATTCTCCCGCTCCGCTGGGGCATCGGCAATGTAGCTCTTGCCATTGCCGCGGTGTCCCACATCCAGATTGGGCCAACTCTTGGGCCAGTAGTGGGCATAGGTCGTCTTAAAGTCCAGCGGCGAGTAGCGGTACGGCTGGACAATGACATAGGGCAAGCGGAGACGGGCCAAGGTCTCCTCGGCGTCGCTGGCCGACTTGATGCGCAAGTGGAGCAATCCCTCGCTGCCCGCCAGCTCTGAGCTGACGAGATTGGCGCTGCCAAGCAGCTCATTGGACATGGTGTAGCAGTCCAGGCGGAAGTGCTGCTGCATCATCTTCTCCAGCGGCACGGTGATGTGGAAGATGACAATGTCGCCCTTGGTGTAGGGCACCCCGAATGTCGGCTGATTCTCCAGCTGACTCTTGCCGTACTCCTGCTTGGTGTACTCTACCTGGAGGCCAGCGGTAATCTCCACGGGCACAATCTTCAGCTGGACATGCTGGGGGATCAAAGGTCTCGATGTCGTGCACCTGGAACATCTTCTCGCCGTTGAACTTGAGCTGCACAATCACCTCGTGATTGAGCCAGCCGCGATGCACCTGCGGCTTCAGATCCGCATTGTCTGCGGTTATGCCAAACACATCGATCTGGCTGCACTGAATCTCCGAGCAGGCGCCCAGGGTGCGGGGCTTGAAGTGTGTCTCCCAGCGGCGGATCTGCTTGTAGCCGGACAGATCCTCCACGTACACAAAGTAGCGGTATTCCAGCTGGCGGCACGACTGCAGCGGCACCGTTGCCTGCCAGTTGAGCTCGTCGAGCGAGTCCAGCGGCACGCAGCGTGAGAGCTGCCATTCGCCCAGTGCCTTCACATCGCCAGTCAGTCCCAGGCGCTCACCCGGCGCCAGCGGAGTCTCCAGTCTCACGTTGAATTCCCTCAGTGTGGGCTTGCAAGTGGCACCGTTGGCACTGGTGGCCGTCTCCAGCTCATTGGCGGTGCCATACTTGATGAGGGCGCCCGGTGGCACGGTGGCGGCCTCCACATATGCGGCACACTGCAAGAAGATGGAGGCATAGGCCAGGATTAGTACGGTGGTGTGCCAGAGGGCCATCGCCATTAGCAATGGAGTCTAGACTACGACTGAGGGCAACGATGCCAGCGCTGTCGCCTAATAAACCCCAGAAGCTCAGATTAAACGTTGACCCCTTGCGGATTTCGTTTCGCCCTGATAAAGTTTTACTAAGCGGAACGCCGTCGAGTGTCGTCCCCACACTCTGCCCCCCCCACCCCCATCTGGCTTTAATTTAGAAACGAAAACAGGTTCGCGCGATAAGCACGCGTTTTAAGTCGCCTTCGCGCCGCGCGTTGCGAGATCACGTGTTTTGTACGGGCACTGGAGCGGGCGGGCTCGACTAAAGATCCAGGCTCACAGATTATTCTAATCAAAACCATTTAAAAACAAAACTACTATACTATCTAAGCAGCTAGTGTAGAATAATCATTTTTATGGCTCGTTTAATTTATTTTTGAATACATTTAGTTGTGCCTTAGGCCCGAGTCTAATGTACGTGCTCGTATATGCGTAAGAGCTGCACTAACGTATCAAACAGCTAGATGACACACAGATAACCCCTAAAACGTTTAGTAGTTAGTGATTTATTTCCGGCTAAAAATAGTCGTTCATATGCGGTAAATCAATCAAAGTCAAGAAGTGTTTTTTTCCCAATAAATATGCAAATTAAGGCGGGGACTTTTTGTGGCTTCTGATAGGTTTGCCCTTTTTCTAAAAATTCCTTCAATTATCACAGCTCCACACATATTTGCACACACACTCTTCACTTAGGCAATCGAACGTTTTGTTTTCGACAGAAAATGCAAATAAAAGCACGCGTTTAAAATCGCTCGATGCTCAAACGTTTTTACCTTTGAACGCAGGCCGCGATAGCCGCAAGGAATTGAATGCACTTTTTGTTGCTTTACGAGTAGCTGCTGCTGACATGGCAGGGAATTGTCGGTGATGCAACTGCCTATGATTAGCCGACACTTGCTGGGCGATATATATAATCGCCATAGCCAAAGTTTATGTAAGTGGGCTGAACCAACCATAAATTATTCCAACTATCACGTGTTGAGCAGCTCCTACACTTGTTTTCCCCTTTATTGAGTACACCAAAGAGGCAACCAACACCCACCTAACTTGCGGAATGTTCAGATCGGTTCTGGCTCTGCCTCCCTCCTTGGCAACATTTCAAAAGATAACTAGAAAAACCGAAAAAGACTAAGCAGTCAAAAGTCGCGTGTGTTAATGAGACATGAAATGCGGTGAAATTTCGCATTTACCATATAGTTTTCTAGTTTCTACATATATGTACATATATAGTTGTATTGTACATAGTTTTTCCGCATTTTTGTATATATATTTTTGGCTTCTTTGCGTTTACCGTGCGTTTCGTAAGCGTTTTGAGCGCGTTTTTCTCGTTCTTGGCACAATTAGCATAGCCTTGTAAATCAATCGGTGTGGTGCTCAGAAATTGCTAGCAAATAAAAAAAAAAAAGCTCTCCCAATGGTTGTGTTTAATATTCAACAAAACCGTATTATTTCTTTTTTGTTTAAACTTTTGATTTTCTCTCAACTTGAATGCTAATTTCCGTGTGCAATTTGAGCTTTTGTGTGGTCGTTCACGTGTTGAACAGTTAGCTTTACGCACGCAAGCGCGCTCTCTGCTCTGCTCTCTCTCAGCCTTTTTGCACATCTGTTTTTTGTTATGGGAAATTTTAGAGTCGTGAAAGCTTTGCTTCTGCTTGCTTCTTGGGGGGAATTTTTTACTTGTTCTTACTTCTTCGTCTTATTTTTAGCCAAAAGCTTTGCTGCCATCTGTTTGCCCAGCTACAATTTCAACTTGATTCTTATCAGGCCCCAGGCTATAGGAGATCATATATCAGCACAATTGTTTATTGCAACTATAAGCTGGCCTGGCATGGAATCTAATCGCAACCATCGCAACAACAAGCACTTGTGCTTGGGGTCGGTAACAGGTAGCAGGCCCCCTCACTCTCTCTCTCTCTCTCAGTATACTGCCACCTGAAACCTCTTAAAATACAAAAGAAATTGAATCACGTGAAAACCCTTTGCCACATGTGGCATTCAATCTGAAGAGCTTTTCGCATTAAATACACAGAGAGAAGTCGTAGCCTGTGTCTGGAGGGGTTGGTTTACTTCAAAACCAATTGAAATTGGAGGTTGGAGTTAGAGGTTTCAAGTTAATGGTTCCAATGAAATGACGTCATAACAAATAGAACTATCATCAGACCTATACTGGATAGAATTCTACGTATTAATATGTATAAACATTAAGCTATAATTTATATCCATTTATCTAGTATTTCCCTTGGTGGCAATTTGGTGCATTAACCCTGCTCCCTTTCCCTTTCTCTCTCTTTTACACTCTCTCATTCTCTACCTCCCTCTCTACTATATATATTGATTTTCATATACTACGGAAAACATGCAAATGTCTGATGACAACAGCAGCGACCTTCACAAACACCCCAAAAAGTCAAAGTCAAAGCTCAAACATTTACAATTACACTAGACATACACAACACAACACACATCATTCCCAACACACAACAGTAACTCCAGCCATACGATAATGCCACAAAAGTACAAATGTTTGATATAGATTTTGGTTAATTACATTTTGCATGTGCTCGTCCATGCCTTGGGATTCCATCGGGGTCAATATCATGGGGACGGACATCTTGTTGGGTTTTTTTTTATTTTAATTGGTTTTCGGAGATGTTTAGGTTGGTCTGGAGAACCAAACGAAAATAAAAAACTTATATCACAGTTGATTTAATTATATTTTTTGCACTACTATATGCCGTATGCGCAATTGTTTTCCCCTTTTTGTTTTTGTTTTGTTTAGCTAGTGGACCGCATTTTGTACTTGTTTTAGTTTTAGTTCAGGCTCTTTTATGGTTGCTTCTTTGTTGCTTTTAATTATGTTTTTTGTTTGGTGTTGTTGGTTTTGGTTTTTGGTTGAAAGGTTTGGGGGGACGCTGAGGACGGTCAGTCGTCACTGCTCCGACGTTGCAGTCGCAACTGTTTCAGGCTCTTGTGGTGTGCGCGCAATTTAAACGATTTCTTTTTATCGAAAATGAGTTGGAGAGCTTTTTGCTTTCTGCTCTGCCTCTTTTGCCCGTTTTCTTTGTGTGTGCGAGAGGCAGAGCCAGAGGCACAGAAAGAAACGGCGACGTTGCCGATTTAGGTACAGTTGCGGCGGCGGTAGCTTACTTGGCGCTTTTTTTTTTCAAAATGTTGTTGGCCTCAGAAACAGAAAAACAACACACGATAATAAAATACAAAAACAAAACAACAAAAAAGCAAAAAACAATCCCATGAAGATTAATCGAATTAGTAATGCCCTCAATCGTCAAGAATCAGAATCAAGATAATATGGGCCAGGTAGAGAGATTGCTAAATAATCTGGAAAATATTAGAGGCTCTTAAAGAAAATTCCATAGATTTTTAGCTTTAAAAAAATTGAAATGGAATGGTTGTGAACAGGGCAATACAATCAATAATTTACCCAATAATCGATTTGGAATGACCAAGTACTCTAGCACTAACCCTTTAATAACCTTTAAGTACTCTAAGACCGCCGTCTATAGGCAAGAGACCGTCAACAGACTGAACCCTAAAACCCAGTATTAAACCATAGTTTTTCGCTTAAGGTGGTTAAAGATGAACAAACAAAAATTGGACACTCTTGTCTGAATAAAATCAATAAATATAAAATGCTATAAAAATAATTCAATAATATTTGATTAAATGCAGACGCAGATCAGGCAGTTGCAAGGTTCCCGAGTTACTTGAAGTTAGTAAAACCCATATACCCCCACCATATTAGGGTAGCTAACTATAAAACTCCTACCCATAGGATGTTGTTTTAGTTTGCGTCGCTACCCAAACACGCAAAAGCTCACAGCTCCGAGCGCACAACACACAGATGAAGATGACGACACGAGAAATACAGTGGAGACCCGGCGCAGCAGCATCACAACCAGGCAGAGCAGGGGTGTGGATCCATGCCACGAGGCTTATTTGCTCCAAAGCGAAAACGTGTTGGTCGTGTGCAGAGCAGAGCCCGCCAGTCAGCCTCGGCACGTGAAATGTTTTTTTTTTTCTGTGCTGTGCTTTTGTGGGGCGTCGGTTGACGATGCCGTGCCGGGCCCTCCTCGTAGTAGTAGTAGTAGTCGTCTCTGTGTGTTGTTCACAGATGTTGAATGGGCATCCCATCCCATCCGGACAAAAGCTCTCTCTTCGTGCACGTCGCGTCATGTCATGGCATATGGCTCTCTTTCCACGAAACCGGTTTGCGTCGGTTGATAGTCGACATTGTTGTTTTCCTTCAGTTTTGGTTTGTTTACATCCCACTCCGCGCTGTTGATAAGACAAGAACTCAATCCCAGCACTATTTTGAAGATATGGAGAAGCTTTTTGCCGAATCTAAAGCTGCCACCGGTCAAGGTCTTGGAAATACTACGTATCATACATACATATCTGTCGATCCTAATCGCAGAATTTCATTTCATGTGTTGCTAGGTGCCTTACAACCGACAATGGTAAGTGTCTGCCAGATATTATAAATAAATGTGTAGTGCCTGCCCCTGCTTCTGTTCCTATTCTTGCCCTTGTTCTCAGACGCATCAGTTGTGCTCCCTCTTCAGATTTGCTTTCTTTGTGCGCGATCTCTCGCTGTGTGTCTCTCTCTCTGTCGCATTGTGTCTTTATTAGTTCGCTCATTTCGTTTTGATTTATAATAATTAAGGTGTTATTTTTCTTTATATTCGTGTCTATAATCATTTTGCTATAGAGGCACAAAACGGCTCATGGGGTCCAAAGTACTGCCTGTCGTTGGCACGTTTAAATATTTAAAGGTCTGCGGGTCGCCGCTCACGAAAGCTTTATTAGATATATATATATAGTATGTATGTATGTATTTGTGGGTGTGCCGCGCCCCTTCTGGTTAGTTGTAATGATTCTCACACTGCCAATTCCGATTCCGTTCTGCGTTTGTTTTCCTATGTTGTTATCCAACATGACATCAGTCACGTTGCTCTGCCCCTCTCTGTTTGGTTCGCCAAAACAATAATATTATTGTGTTGTTTTATACATATTTTGTTTTTATAGCTACAGCTGAGGCTTGTTTACAGTTCTTCGAGTGCTGTGCTGCTTGGTTTGGACCTTGTAACAAACAGAACAGCCAAGCAAAGCAAAACAAAAAATGTACAAATGTTTAGTTTAGATAAGCAAAGGGAACAGGGAACGGAAGGCAAACAGTTTTCATTGTGCAATTAAAACACTGTGTTGCAATAATCATCTATCATCGACAAGCACTTTATAAAGAGTAAAATGCACTTGTAATATTATTAAATTTATTACAAAACCAAACCGCATTTGATAAATGCATATAAAATATAGAAAAAATTACACTTGCATACTCCATAAATGTGTAATTAAAACTAGGGTACCTTTCCACATGTTTATAAACGTCTCATACCTGGTCAGACATGTGATCCTTGGCCCTTGGAAAGGGTCGTTGCACCTGGAACACTTATCACTGATATTATGATTACCAGACGATTTCCGCTTCGCTTGCTACACCTTTATAATGCCCAAAAGATTGCAGCGTTTTGCAATTCTTATCACACGAGCGTCAAAATAGTACTGACGATGATGCCGTTGCTCCAACTTAGAGAGTAACTAGCACTAAATAGAGGAAGTCGCTTGTGTCGATTTTGTCCGTTTCCCCCGTTGTAGCAGACGTCCGAACGGCGTAAATACAATTAAATCAATTTAAAACAATAAAAGTAGGAGCAGCAGCCACTGCCACAGCCGCTGCCGCTGCCGCTGCCACAGTCGCGAGCAGCACAAAGAGACAATGATGGATGGATGGGATGACAACATCCCGTTGCAGATAAGCGAGAATGAGGCATCGTTTGGCTGTCGAGGTGATTGCGAGAATCGCGAGAGTGACCTGAAAGATGAAGAGATTATCAGAGTCCGGTACGCCAAGTCTATAAGAAAATTACATTTGAGCCAACTGTACATCGTGCCGCCCCATGCAACACCCACATCACGCAGTTGATAGCGTCTCCGTGTCCGTCTCAATGTTTACTTTAGTTGTGGTTTCAGTCTTCAATGATTCTGTGGCTGCTGACGCCGACGCCTCTACAGCCTCTGCTGGCGGTGCGTTTTCATCTGTCTTTGTCCTGGGCTCACGCTCAAACAGAATGACCAGCTCCGTGTGCGCTGTGTGGGGGAACATGTCGACGGCCACAGCTGATTTCGGATAGAAGGGTTCACCCTTGTAGTGCTTGGACTCGGGTCTGGCCAGCTCGATGAAGTTGCGCTTGGCGCTGTTTGGATTGCAGGAGACATACACCAGACGATTGATGGCACTCGCCGAACGTATGGCGGCAATGGAACGATTATCTACAGATGAATGGAGGAAAGAGGGAATTTAATTAAAATAATGCCGAGAAGATTGAGTTCTGCTGTTGCTTACGCAGTCCCGCTCTTGGTGGATCCACCACGGCTATCAAATCCACTGGCTTGCCTGGCTCTTCCTCATACATCGCCTCCCGCACCATGGTCTTGATAAAGTCATCCGCGTTGCCCGTAAAGAACTTGCAGTTATCAATTCCATTCGCTTCGGCATTGAACTGAGCATCCTTGATGGCATCGGGTACGATTTCCACGCCCAGGACCCGCTTGCAGTGCTTGGCAAAGGCCAGTGCTATGGTGCCAGTGCCGCAACAAATGTCCAGCATGGTTGTGTCCTTGGTGGGAGCCACCAGATCAATGGCCTGCTGATAGAGCACATTGGCTCCTTCGGTGTTGATTTGAAAAAAGGCCAGCGGACTGATGCGAAACTGTAGACCCTGAATGGTGTCTGTGATGTGGGTGGTGCCCAGTAAATGGTCGACGGGGTTCACCATCTGCCCAGCCTCACGATGCTTGACATCTTGATAGTAGAGGGAAGTGCACTTGAAGGCACTTGCATCCGGCTCCACTTTCTCATAGAAGGACTTTAGCTCCTGCTTTAGTTCCCGCTGTTCGTCTTCACTTAGATTGGAGGAGTAGATGCCCGCCACTAGCATCAGCTCGCCCGTGGCACTCGAACAGCGCACCATCAGCTGCCTGAAGTGTCCCACATTGCCATCTGGATTGAAGGGCAGAAATTTTGATTGCCTCACAAGCTTTTGAAAACTCTGCGCCGCCCATTTTGCCTGGTCGGGTAGGTGCGGCAGATCCTGTACCGCCGCCACCTCCACAGATCCATCGCTGTAGCTGCCCAAGCGGAATCCCACCACGACTTCGCCCTCAGAGTTTTTGCCCACCGTAAACTCGTTCTTGTTTCTGTAGCCATTCACCGTTGGAGAGGGCAGAACTTTGTCAAATTTAAAGTTGTCCAAATGCGGCTTGGCCTGGGGATTAAGCTTCCTCAGTTCTTGGGTATATTTCCGCAGCAGGGTGGACATTTCCTCCGATTTCTGCTGCAGCTGCTCATCGTAGCTGATGCCCGCCAGCGGGCAGGTGGCCTCTACGGCTGTGCGTTGACGTTTGGGCTTGCCATCGCTGGCGCCTTCAGCCGCTCGCTTTTTCTGCAGCGGATCGGCGGAGGCCTTTGCTGCCAGCGCCTTTAACACTCTGCCTTTCCACTTGTACCCATTCAGTGTTTCCAAGGCTCTCTGCTGATCCTCCTGCGTGCGAAAGCAAACAAAAGCAAACTCCTTTCTGGTGGGAGACTTGATTTTCGTCATGTCCAGCTTCAAGGTGTTCTTCAGCAGCTTTTTAAACTCCTAAAAGGGAATGCATTTAGTTTATTGCATGTGGATTTGTCTTGTAACTTACACCAATGCCAAAGTAGCCCATATTCTTCACTTCTATTTTGTATATTTCCGATGTGAACTCATTCCGCTCCAAATAGGCGTACTCCTCGCCGGTTTTTTCCACGGTCACATCGTTGCTTGCTGCTTTTTCAGCATCTGATTGCTCTACGGCTGTCTCCATTGGTTGTGCTCCATTTGGCGACACTTCAGCCGACGTTTCCTTAATTACACTCTCCATTTTAGACCAAATCTTGCGTTTTTTATGCAAAAATTAAAACATAAACAAATCACACGTGCAACACGTGAAATCGATAACGGATGTTTCAGACCTATTCGTACTAGAGGTGTCAGACCAAAGAGGGAACTATCGATAGTATCGATAGTTTGCTTGTAGCCTCTAGAGCCGATCTGGCAGCCCTAAAAACTAAAGTAGGCAAAAAAGAAGAAGATAAATTTTTCGCAAATAGGAAGAAGACAAAAATATTTTCCGCAAAAACATACACACATACTACAATGTAAAGTAATTGTAATGTCAAATGTAAAGTAAATGTAAATTGTCAGGGCAGTACTTAATTAATTGAGTCCGGCAACGCAGTATGCCAGGGAACTATTTAATTGAGTCCGGCAGCTCTGTATTTCAGGGAACTATTTAATCGAGTCCGGCAGCGCTGTATTTGAGGGAAGTATTTAATCGTGTCCGGCAACGCTGTATTTGAGGGCAGTATTAATTAATCGAGTACGGCAACGCTGTTATGAAGCTTGGCGCAAATTTTGAATAAAATTTTAATTATCCGCAATAGAAAAGTGTCTTTTATAGAAACAATTGTATAAAGTTTATTTGGCACATTTTTTTTCAGAGCTATTCGATTTGATTGACCTCTTCAAATCGCTCTAGGGCTCTGTCTAGGATTGCTTGACGCTCTGCCAGCAGCTGCTGCATTTCCGGTTCATGTTGCATAATATTCCCGATCTCCGCCAGCAGCTCTGATGCCCGTTTGAGTTTCTCTTCGCATTCCAGTAGTTCCTCCGATCGCAAGGCCTGTGCCACGAGCGCCTCCTCCAGGTCTATTAGCAAATTGCCGCGAAAGATGCTCCAGCCGCCATCAAAAATGTTGGCCAATTTTAGGAGCTCCTCACACAGCTCCACCTTGCGATTGAGCGACTCCTCACTGAGTTCTGTGGGGGGACACTGTGGGGTTATTACTGTATGGACAAATCCCCTTTGCTGCTTACCATCCATGGCGAGTCCTGGCGCATTTCCGTACAGCTGAGTGAGCGCATATTTGGCCTGCAGGACATGGGTGTTGGTCTCATGGAGATCCACCCGATGGCGGTAGATGAAATCCTCAAAATCCGTGGGGCTTGTCTTGTCCAGCGCCTCAATCTCCTTCTGCAGCTGGGCATCGGAGAGCAGCACTTCCTTGGCGGAACGCTTCAAGTTGCACAGCTGGCACTTCCAGTTGGCTGTGTTCAGGAGCGGATTTACCGAGATTATCTGTGGGAAAATCTTCTTTTATGAGCATATATTCAGTTTCCCACTTCTCCCCCTCACTGACCTTTCCCGCCTTGCACTTGACGCAGGTCTGTGCACCCGCAAAGCTGCCCAACTCCGTGGGATCCTGGCACCTGGCACACGCACAATCGAAGCACTTGGCCTGCCGCAGATGCAGACGCCGCTGGATGGTGCTCCTTAGGGGCTGAGTGTAGGAAATGCTCAGGATTTCGCCCTTGGCAATGGGGCGCTTGGCCAGGAATCGAATGTTCATGTCGTCGTCGAAACGATGCCGCATATTGGGCGCACAGTCGTGCGAGATCATGGCCGCACCAGGAAAGAGAGCTCTTACCTTTCGACGCTCGCGGGGCTGTCGCAGCTCGAAGGTGTTGGTGTCCAGAATGGCGGCAATGCGAAGGATGTCCACCTCCGACCAATCGCGCATGCCCAAAATGGTTTTGATGAACGTTATGAGATTGGCACGCAGCACTTGATACAGCGGCGTCGCCAGGCGCTCCTGCAGGTGATCTTCCAGGGCGGAGAGGCGGGCAAAGCCCTCGGGATCGCTTGCCTTCAGCTGCATGCAGCGCAGCAGCATAATCACACAGTAGGCGGACTCCTTGCGCTCCTCCTCGCCGGGCTGGTAGTTGATCTTCGACTGAAAGTGGCTGCCGGACATGAGCTGGCATTCTGCTCGATGGTGGGGCGACTCCTCGCACTCTTTGCCGCACAGGGGCCAGCTGCAGGAGCTGCATTTGTAGTAGTTGCTGCGTGGCTTTGCCGGGGCCAGCAGATTCCGATGACAGCCCAGGCAGATAGGCGCCGAGGCCACCTTGGGACCCAGCACAAGGGGAGCCTCCTTCAGTATCTCCTCGCCAATCTTGACGTCCCTTGTGGCGCGCAGATGCCGGCCCAGTGTCTCGTTGGTGGCCACCTCAAAGCACTTGCACTCGCGCTTGTGGCCCTGCTTCCAGTGCTCCTTCTGGTGCTCCCGACTGCAGTAGACCACGCTCCGGCAGGCGGCACATAGCTGCGAGGCTCTCGCCTGGCACAGGGCACAGGATGTCAGCGATGAGGACATTTATGTTTATGCTAATCTTCCACTGATCTTCGACGTACAAGCTAATTCCCCTGTTCACCGTGTGTTTGCGTAATGCGCAACGTTTGAAAATTTACTGAAAACCCCACATCACATTTGTTCTGTTCTAGTGTTCTTTTTTCGGACTCTACTCGCGATCTATCTGCCTGTCTGCGAGAACATATTTTCTTTTGTGTCTCCGTGCTGCCAAAATAAATCCAATCCGATGGGACGCTAGAGAGATCTTCTCTCCGGTCTCCGGTCTTTCTCTCCTATCTCCGAATCTCTCTTGTCGCATGGCGCACGACGGTTTAAATTTAGATCTCATCTCTGTGTCGTTTGTTTCAGAGCCAAGACAATGTCTAATTTGCACGGCCGGCAGCTTTTCGAGTATTAATGTTTTGGTTTGGCTAAAAGTTTATCTTACTCTGCGTATCAGCTAGCTTTTGTCGGCAGTCAGAGTTCGTAGCAGTCAGAGCTTGTCTTCTTTCCAATTGTTGATCAAAAAATATTTTGTGTTTGGTTTTTCAAGTCATATTTTTATATCTCTTTTAAGAGATTCTATAAATCAATAAAAACCGAAATTAGTCAACAGCTTTATCATTGATTTACCAAAAGACTTTGGCCCAAAACCCTACCTAAACTTTTCTAAATTTAAAAGTTTCTGAATAAAAGAACTACCATGATTCCCATAACTAATTCAGATTTCTCCCATGTTCCATAGTAAAAAACACTCTCTAAATGAATAATTCCATTTTTAGCAATTCAATAATTTATTTAGTATTTTCTCATTATGTTTAATGTTTTATGTTTAATTGGAAATCAGTCTTTTTTATTTAAATAAGAGTTAAATGCATTTTGTTTTTGTTTGATTTGATTGAATTGATTATTTGATTGATTGATTGGTTGATGAGTAGATAAAAAAAAAATGAAAAACATTACAAAAATAATAATTGAACTAAAATTGTTTTGTTTTTGTTTGTTTTTTGCTTGTTTTGTTTTGTTTAGTTGCATTGTTGCTTGTCTTGTTGGCGGTTAGTGTTAGAAACTAATTCTAGTAGTGTTTAAAATTAAATTGGCTTCGTAAAACATAAATATACACGATATCGGTAGAAAACTTAAAATTCGCATTAAGGAGAACATCGCTCCACTCCTCTCCTGATCCTTTCTATACACCTAAAAAGCGTTGCATAAAATTTCATATTATAGACAACAATTTCATTTAATTTAATAATTTTCACTAAACAATAGAGTCATTTTCCACACATTTTCAGTTTCCTTTTTTTTGTTTTGCTTTCTTTTTTTGTTTTGCAAAGTTTTAGTTTTTTAAATTTATTCAGCAACACAAAATGCTTGGGCGCAACATGCTGCCAGCGCGCTTTGATACGTGATATGTGTTGCTGCAACATGTTGCTAGGTCGATTAGCATAGCAAAAAGCGGTGATTTGTTGCCAAGGCAAAAGGCGCATTTTAATTTTGGTTTTTTGTTTTGTTTTGCATAAGCTATAGAAAGGCTAGTCTATATACGATAATATACCCACATGCCCATGGGGCAAAGGTTCAAGTGGTTCCAGACATGGATGGTTCCAACCCGGACTCTAATATTGTTTTGTTTGATTCGAATAATTTTTTGGATGATAAATTCTAACATTAAATTACAATTGGCGCTACTTATTAATTCATTTAGAGTGAAAACATAAGCAACATTCAAATAGTTTTTAGTTTCATTCGTTCTAGTTGTGGGTTTAGTTTTTACTTGGGGTTTTCCCTCACACATCCTGCTGCTCCTTGAAGTGATGGTAGTGATGGTGAATGTGCTCGTGCACATAGCGATGAATCATCGAGCTGGAGACACTGGTGTCCAGCTCCACCTCTTGGTGCGCCTCTTCATCGACCTCCAACACCTTGCCACCCTCGGTGACGGCCTCGGCCACAGCCTCGCCCACATCGTCATTCAGATCAATGAGGGTGTCGGTGCTGACGACCTTGCTGGGTGTGCTGGTCAGCGGTAGGCTGGCCGGCAGATCCTCCTCCTCGCTGGCCAGCAGATGGGCGCACTCCAAGGCATCGCCAAAGATCTTGGAACCCGTCGAGCTGGAGCTCGAGGTTGGCAAACGCTGCTGCTGCTGCTCCTGCTCTGGTAGAGATTCCTCCTTGGGTTTCAGTGGCTGCTGCTGTTGGTTCTGCTGCTGCAGCTGCTGCTGTTGCTGCTTGTGGCGATGTCTGCGCTGCTCCCGCTCCTTCTGCTGCAGCTGTTCGCTCAGCTTAGCATAGATGAGATTGCCGTAGTTCTTGTAGTCCTTGCTGGATCGCTGCTGCTGCTGCTGCTCCAGTCGCTGGTAGCCTTGCAGCAGGCTCTTCTGATTGTGACTTTTCTTGGGTATGGGCTGCACAGTGGCCACATTGCTGGGCGTCGGTGGTGGCGAGTGGGCGGCCGAGCCGCCGCCACAGATTGTGGCATGAAGGAACGAATCGTAGCCACAGAGATTTAGCTTGTTGTGGGCACTGTTGTGACTGTGCTGGGCGGCCAGCACGGCCGGATTAATTGCCAGCTGCTGATGGTAGATGGGTATGTGCGGTTGGGGATGGTCGTGATGATGACCTGGCCCCTCGATGGCCGCCGGTGGCGCTGCCTGTGCTGACGACGGAATGCAGGTGGCTGCTGCCGGATGGCTGCAGGGTGGACTGCAGCTGACCGGAGACTGGGCGGCAGGACTGTGGTTGGCAATTAGTGTTGGAATTTTCGATCCCGTACTGGAGCGTTGGCGTTGCTGTTGTTGTTGTTGTTGTTGTGCTGCCGGTTGCCGTATGGGACTCACATTGGCTTGGGGTTTTCTGTGTGCAAAAGCAAAAAGAAAAAACAAAAAACAAACAAATTTGACTTCAATTAGTGGCTGATTGCATGGGGCTATTTGTCAGGGATTTATGTTTCAATTAGGGAATCAGAGGGGGTGGGAATCGGGTCGCCAAAAAAGAAAAGCAAATGAGTTATGATGCAGGATAAGCGAATGACGCTTGGGGGGATTTTGCTTACCCATTCAGCTGAAAACACAGACGATTCTTCTCCATGCTCTCCCTGATGATGCTAATCAAATCGTTTCGATTCAGCGCCGATTTCCAGCACTCGGCGGACTTGCGCTGCTGCTGATGGGATTGGGATTGGGACTGGGATTGATGATGGTGGTGACGTGGCTGACGCAGCTGCACTCCATCCAGCATTATCTCCGCGCCACTGTGTGGTGGTGGCGACACCGAGGCACTCTTATGTGCCGCCTGTGGCTGCTGCTGCTGCTGCGACTGTGGCAAATGGCGGTTCAGCCAATTGGCATCATTGCCCACCGAGAGGCTGCGCTGTCGCGTCTCCATGCAGTGATCCTGGTACTGTTTGTGGTTCAATTTGTTGTTGTTGTTGTTGTTGGTTGATGGTTTAAACAAAAAATACAAAATAAAAAAAACAAAATTAAATTATAATTGAGAAATAAAAATGAATGCGGTGCAGAACAAAGCAAAATAACAAAAACAAAAGGCGACTTTTAGGCATACGGGGAGGGGGAAAGGTTCGTTGGGGGAGGAGGGCACAGAATGTGGCCAGGAGCTATGCTGTGCTGAGCTATTTCCTAGCCACATTTGAGGGGAGATTGTTGTTTTGTTTTTGCCATAATTTGTTTTGTCTTGTTACCTTGTGCCTACCTTTTGTTTGCGCGCCCTCCGCAACATCTTCACGCGCTGTGTGGCCTGCTTCATGTAGATGTCCTGCTGCCGCTGATGGTGCAGCTGGCGATGCGATGGACAATCAGCCACATCGTTGCCACTCGGCTGTTGCTGCTGCTGCTGCTGCTGCTGCTGCGGCTGTTGCTCCTGTTTGAGATTCAACATATTCTCGTAGGTATTGTCCGGCGTTTGCTGCTCCGCAGCCCCACAGCACTGCTCCAATTTGGCGCTGCTCTTCTGTTGGTGATATCTGCCATGACTATGATGGCTCCTGCTGCCACCAGCACCGCCCTTGGTGCCACTCCCACTTGGCTGCTGGTCTGCTGCTGCTGCAGCCAGTGTATGTGCATCCTTCTCCTTGTCGCTGTTGCTGTCATCGTCCTCGTCATCGGACTTAATCAGTTTGCGCGGTCGATACCGATGCTGGCGGCGTGTGCCGGCGGATGTCGTTAGCGCTGCTCCGCCGTTCACTTGTTTCGCCATGGCTGCTGCCAGTCCCATGGGCAACTTCTTCAGTTTGTTGTTGTTGTTGTTGCTGTTGCTGTTACTGTTGTTGTTGTTGTTGCTGCCGCCGAATGCTGCCGCGGGCAGGGGCACACCATCCATGGACGGCTGTTGTGCGGATTTCGATTTACCCTCGGGACTGACGGTGAGGCGCACATTGATTGTCTTGCTGCCACAGTGGGGCACCACCACGGACTTGCCAATGGACTCGTATATGGTATACACAATGCCCACAATGTCGTCCTTTGTTATCTTGCCATGATGCCCATCCAGATCGTAGAACGTGAACGAGAATTGCAACGGCTGCGAGGATTTGCCACCCTCAACGGATACGTCGCAGGTGAATTCCTGTTTCGGTTTGCGAATATGAGAATGGAAGATAGATTTGTATGAGTACGGGATAGACGGGAATTGATTGGAATACAACTGGGAGTCAACTGGCAGCTGTATAGACTAGGCAATGATTTCTAATGAAAATCTCTGCTACATATATTTAAAACATATTTTTCTACTTCCTACTCCACTTTCCCACCTCAAAAACCCCGTTGCTTAGTGGCAACAATTTCCCAGGCCACAATTTAAACTTTTTTGGCAACAATTTTTGAAGCAGCAGCAAACTAAAAAATAAATATTGCTAATAAACTTTGCCACATCCAATTTGAGGGTACACTACAAGGGTTTTGCTTTTGTTTGTTTGTTTTGTTTGGTGCAAATGCAACATGTTGTGTGTATGCCACAACCGCAGCAGCCATGTGCCACATAAAAACAACAATTAGAAGCAACACCGAAACCAGTCGAAATTTGTGGCCATAATTTGACTAAATATTTAATTTGCTTGCCAGAAGCACAGACAGCAGCAGCGTCTGATGTCGGGGTGGGTTATGGGATGGGGGGGGGGGGACCATTACCATTGATAAAGTGCTAACCGAAAACACAGCAGCATCCAACAGTTTCAACTGCTGCTTCTCTCCTCTCGTCTCGTCGTATAAATAAATATAATTTCCTCTTGGATGCTGCTGCTGCTGCTGCCTTTCTCTCGGCTTGTAGATTTTTAATTGCCTCTGAGTGCTTTTCGTGTTTTGTTGCTTTGCTTTTAATGGTTTTTATTGAATTTTAATGTTTTGATATTTTTTTGGCACAGAATAACAAGAGAGAAAAGACTAGAGGACTCTGCCCCGTAGCAGCAGCAGCAGCAGCGAAGGAGAATGTTCTTCCTCAGTGGGTGGTAATTGAAAATTGCCGGCGCCCTTGTGTTAATGAAATACTTTTTTTTCCCACTCTCCTCTGATATTTGGTGGGTTGGAACAACAAAATGAAGCTGTAGCTTGTCGGGCAGCAGCAGCAGCCATTGAAATTTTAATTAAAAGCACATTGAATTGTTGAGTTTATGTGGGCGATGTGCGCTGTGGCCCAGTGGGCCATGAGTTATGGCCAACAGCGGAGAGAGGGGAATAACAGCAGTAATAACAGCATGCGAGTGGATTAAACTTGACCAAAACAACCAACCCAGCCAACACCTGGCCGGAGGGGTGGTGGGTCAGAGGCTAACAAATGGAAAACTAAACATCATTTAATTTATCATGATATATTTATAAGCAGACGATTGTTGGAAGTAAAAGCTTATTTGAAGCAGTAACATGAATACCCTTCCTTCTCAGATATAAATTTGCGCTTAGATTCAAATCTAATATCTATACCATACGGAAATATTTTAATATAAATTCACCCACATTTAAATTAAATATATTTCATACAAATTTAATATAATATATTTATTTTGAAATGTTTTATATTTCGATTAAATATGTGCAGTATTTAATAAATTTAAAATATATTTAAATCGCATTGAATTCTTTTTAATTTCACTATGTTTGCATGTAATCTGAATATTTAGTTTAAGTGTGGGTGCGCTTTGCGCTGTATCTGTGGCATGTTTAATGCCCAGATGGGAATACCCTTTACGCTTTTGGTGTATAGAGATGAAGTGCTCTATAAATATTTGGGTTATGAAACAACAATGGGAATATTCCATAAATTCCTACATAATTGAACGGAGAATTGGAAATCAGAATTGGAATATAAAAATAAAATGTTTATGGGATTTTGGATACTTGACTTTGCCCTCGTAATTAATAATCTAATAAGCTTATCAAGTTATGGAGCTGATGGACTGATGGACTAATGGACTCACCTCCAAACGGATGCGCTCCTCCTTGTGGTGGTGCAAGTGCCGCGAATGTTGCTGCTGATGCTGTTGGCCTGTGGGCTGGGCCGCTGCTGCTGCCGCATCGACCACATCCTCATCGACGCCTGTCGCCGTCGCCGTCACCGTCTGCTGTTGCATATTTGCATATTTGCCATGCTTGCCCCCGGAGCTGCTGCTGATGCGCAAATGCTTCGTGTGGCTGCCACTACTGCTCATGTCCTGCGGCAGCTGCATGGGATGCTGATGGTGATGCCTGCTGGCGTGGGTATGGGGCAGCGCCTGGTGATGCTGGTGCGCCTGCTGTTGCAGCTGCTGCTTGTTGCCAGCCGCACCGGAGGCATTGCCCGGCGGTGTGGTGATTATATTAACCACTGGCGATCGCAGTTGTATATTATTGTCACGTTCGCTGACCAGCAGCAGGTCGGGCGGGGCGCTGCACGAGGAGGAGGCACGCACCTGGTGATACATCAGCTCCTCGGAGTCTGTGGTGCATTCCTGGACTGCAAAGACACAAGAAGATAGGGAAAGGATACTTTTAATTAAAATGCAAAGTGGCATGAAATTGGCGGCATCAAAACAGTGCCACCTCATCCCCAACCCCATTCCCATTCCCATTCCCCCTTTGCTGCTGCTGCTCTTTGGCGCTATCTAATCCCCCCACAGAAAATCCCCAGACCCCAGAGCACATTTCCATTTCCTCCCCCTCCGTTTGTCGGCTTTTGGCGCCTTTGAGTTGGCTGCTTTTCGTTGGCGGCTTTTGCAATTTATTTGCAATTTGCACAAAGCGCATTACAGCAACAACAGTAGCACAAAAAAGTTTATGCCTCAACGCCAACACAAAGCGATGGCGACCAGGCGGCCAATGCCTTTCGCTGGCACTGGCAGCCGCTGCAGTCTGGCCGCCATCCCCCCCCTCGAGACACTTGAAAGGCGACTGCTCGGAGAGCATTCCTAATTAATGACGTAGTCGTCGTCGGCGGCGGCGGCAGTCAAAGTTTTCTTTTTTCTTTTATTTTTAATTGAAATGGCTACAGTATTATCTGGCTGCTCTGGCTGGGCTGGCTGGGCCAACAGATGAGCAGTCTACCACGATGCCACGTTCTACGGTCTCATTCATTACTCATACGACGCGTTAGCCGCATAAAAGTGGCTAAAAGTTGGACTGTTTTGAGGGTAACATATTTATCCTTACATATCTGCTGCTTAGCCATGGCAATGTCTTGGCGCTGCCGCTCCTTTTTCCATCTCCATCACTCTCAATTTTTATAACTTTATAAACTTCAAAGAACGCAGAAGGTATGCAGCCCAGTCCTACCCCCTCGCTCCACTTGACACACAAATCCCAACACCAAGCCCAAACCCTGTAGCCACCTCCCATGCGCAGTAATTCACTTCTCTGCTTTCTTGGGGCTGCAGCCACCCACAGAAACGCCACCACTATTCGCGGCCATTGTATTTGCTGCTTCATTTTAATTAATTAGCGCGCTTAAAACAAAAACAAAACAAAAAAACTAAAGAGAATTTCCACTTCTCGCCTTTGCCCCTTCGTTTTGCTGCTGCTTCTGACCTAAATTTGTGGTTTAGCTTTCTGTGCGCATTTTCCCCGTTTTCGCATTTTCGCATTTCGTTTTTCATTTGAGAGCTGCGTCCTTGCCGGGCGGGCGGGCAGGCATCGCATTGTGCCAGGACATGGCTTTTAATTGCATGAACATTATGCAAGCAAAGCAGTCCCAAGTTTCCATTTTGTGTAATTTTCTTCATTCTGTTTTGTTTTTTTTGTTTGTTTCCCGACAGGGGATTGTGCCAAAAGAGTTGCCGCCGCCTGATGCCTGCTGCTGCTGCCTGCTGCTGCTGCCTGCTGCTGCTGAGGTGGCGACAATTGAAGACAATTAGCCAAAGTGCCAGGGAAATGAGCTGGTTGTCGAGTCCTGGGCCCAAGTCCCCGTAATTGTTTGCACTGCGGCATTGCGTTAGTTATGGGGCGATGGGGAGGGCTTGGGCGTGTTGACCCAGTTAGCACTTGACAATCTAGAATTGTAGGTTGTCTGCCTTGGAAGTGGTTTGTTTTCCTTGAGGTTCTTCTACCCAAGAGAATATTTTGCTGGCCATTCAAAATGCCACCTGCTTTCATTTTTTATTTTTTGTAAATTTATTTGTGTGTTTTATTACTATAAATTTATAACATTTTGTATACAATTTATGCGCATTTTTTGATTTGCACCATAAAACCAACCCAGTGTCGGTCCAGGCCACAAAAGTTCATTAATTAATTATGCAAATATTTGATAGAAAACTTTTTCGGTTATCTGCAGCATCTCAGCATGGACTACAATATGGATTTGATAATAAACCAAAAATTACACAAAGGTAAACACAGATGCATAGATACAAAGATAGATAGATAGATAAAACACCCCAAATTGGAGATATGTTAATCAACAGGGCCTACAGCACGTCCCAACCAACACAATCTACGCTGAAGCGACTTTAATTGAGACCGAAAAACCAAGATCAAAAACCACGTTCGAAGAGCAGGCAGCATTACTCATACGCCACGTAGGCTGTGCAGGCTCATTCAATTTGTATTTATTGTTGTTGTTGTTGTGGTGCTTTTCTTTTGATAGATAAGCCGCCAGCCGTGACGTTCCATTTATCATAGAAAATTCATGAAGCTGCGTCCACATTTCGACATGGCCCTCGTGACCCCTCTCTAGTCCCCTCAGGTGAGCCGCCGTGCGCCTGAGAGCCCTTGCAGCTTGGCCTTCGCCTCGGTCTCATCTCATCTCTTGGTTGGGCAATGCTGCTCTGTCCGCGTGTCTATTGCGGTCGCCATAGTCATAGGGATTGAAGAGATGCGTGGTCCGTGCAGCTTGATGGAGCTAATCATTTTCATTTCCATTTCCATTTTCTCTGCCCTGCCCTGCCCTGTCTTAAGCACACATTACGCAAATGTACAAATTCAATTCATTTTCATTCATTCATTTCCCGTAGGCTTAGGGGCATATGTAAGTGAGGTCTTGGGGCCTGTGGCATGTTTTTAGAGTTTCATTACGCGCTGGATATTTTTGAAGCTTCTTATATATATTTTTAAATCTGGAACAATAATATTTCTTTAATTTTTTTAAGTTTAAAAATAGTGCATTTAAATATTTTCTTGGAACCCCACCACCAGATGGTTTCCTTTTACATTAAACATTGTTTTTTTGTAGGTCATCGGTGAGTCGTGCATGCCCCCAGGGCCTGTGGCGCTATGGCCCCCGGGCTGTCCGGCCATTCTGGCCATTCTCCTTTCAATTTGTGCCTATACAACGCGAATGTATGTACATATGTATGTACGAGTGTGTATCTGTATCTATAGCTGTTTGGAGTGGCTTAGGCCAAAGTTAATTTGCAAGGCGGCATGTTTCATATCAGACGCCAAAATGCTTTCTTGATGACTCAACAACAACAGCAGCAGCAACAGCAACAGCAAAAAAAAAACAAGTTGATTCCCATTGTGTGTCGGGTCGGCCACTTGAGAGCAAAACATGTTCTTTTGGTTTATCTTGGCGCCACGATCGTCGGCAAAGGCCGTGCGCGGTATTTGCTTAAAAAAAAAAAAACAACAAAAAAGAATGCTGAAAGAAACACAAAGGCGATAATTAAACGCAAAACAAAGCGGCCAAGAACAGAGAAAGAGAGAGATAGGCCGAGAATCTGGCAACCTGAGACCCCAGGCCCATCAACTGGTCGACCTTTAATTAGAAAAAAAGTGTACCAAGCACCCCGCCCCCACCCAGCGCGTGAGTAACGTAAAAGCACCAAAAAGTTCAATGAGAAGTGCATCAAAGTGACAGCAAAGCGAGAAGAGCTAATAAATGCTCGACAGTTGGACAGCTCGAAAAGACTTCAACTCCACGACAAACTACGGAGCAGAGTGTGGGGCTGTGGGAGCGTGTGGCAACACTACTATTTATTAGACAGATGATGTGCCAACCATGGCCAAGCCAAGCCAGAAAAGATATAAACCAAAGATAAAAACTTCATAATTGCGTCGCTGTGTGGCCAAAGACTGACTCTCAGAAGTGGAAAAGAAAACCGAAAAAAAAATGAAACAAAAACAAAAAGTTGTTGCTGCCCAGATATCTCGTATCTCGTATCTGGCATGTAAGTGTTAATGAAGTTAAGTGTTTTTGACGCGAACGACCGACCGGCAATAGCAAAAGCAACAAACAATTAATGAGCAGTCGCATAGCCACAGCCCCGCAGCCACATAGCCACCAGAGCCCCACAAAAAATGTTCGGCCCTCTATGATAAAGATCAACACATGCCAAAAGAAAAAAAAGACCATGCGAGAAAAAGCTATGAGAAAAAAGGCAAGTCAAAGGCAAGGCCCTACTCTAATGGGGGGGGCACACGTTGAAGTTTATCTAAGAAATGTCAAAAGTTAAGCAACTTTGGAGCTGCTGCTAAGGAGTTCAAGCTGAATAGAGGAAATTAGGAGCAGACTCAGAACCAAGTTAGTTAGAGTCTTGTGTGTCGCTGGCAGTTAGCTTTAAAGATAACTGACAAACCTTACTAAGTCATCAACTAACCCTCAGACTTAACTTAGAATGCCCTTTACTTTGCTTGTATTTAGTTAGATTTTCCTTGGACATAATTTCTGCCCGTCTGATCACTAGCTGATCACCGACCGATTACCTGGAACTGATGAAGTGCTTTCCAATTAGTGCGTTCTTTTTTATACTCCTTCATATTTGTATAGTTATTTTTTTCCGACACTTGACTTCAATTTACAACCACAATTTGGCATGGCACTTATCGATTGGTTGGTTGGCCGGCAAAAATCAAACGAGTCGCAAATAAAAAAAAAAAATTATTTCACTATCAGCCCAAAGAAATCTGCCACAATTTTTTTGTTACCCACTTTTATTTTCACTGTTGTTTTGTTTTCCACCCCGCCCATCCCATCCATTCACGTAGCAGAAAATCTTATCAGGTGGAATGGGAATGGGGAATGCTTGCTAAATACCGGTAGCAATTATTTCGAGGGGAAGGCGCAGAGTGGGGACTGAGCGGTAAACTGGGGTCTGGATCTGGGTCTGGCCACTGGTAACGTTTAATTAAACGCCGATAATCGATGCGCCTACCCAAACAGTTACACGATGGCGAGGCTCTACACGGGCGCTCCCCCTCCAGCTTATCAGCGTCTGAAGTTCAGGGCGAGCGTCACATCATCATCGATTGGCGGTGGCTGCAGCGACGGCAGCGGGGGATGGACACAGGCCAGGCACTCTATGGCCACAAGTATGCCAGCTATTGGCAGTGGTTGTCGATTGCAGTTTTTTTAGCCAACAACAAAACTTGAACGTACGAACGAACGAACAACCAACAAGCAACCTCCTCCTGGGCCGGTTGTGTCGGCGTTTTTATAACTTTTCTTTAATGTCACAAATCAAGTGAAACAAATGCCGACAACGACGTCAGACATTCAACAGATCGAGCGTGCCTTTTGTCCGA